AGCCACGGTGGACTGGGCCTTACAAGGTGACTGAAAGGACGTCGCACGCATGCAGGGTAAGGGAGAGACGTGGTACCACTGGAGCCAGTGTGCCCCTGCGGAGGCACCAATGAGGCCGTTGACAGAAGTCCAGAAAGACCTCGAGCAGGTGAGATAAGGGGCAGAATAATCCCCTCACCTGTGTGACACACAGGTAGTCTATCCTGATGTATTGAAGACAGCAGACTAGGAAGATAAGAAGACGAGTTGGTGAAATCTTCATGAGCAAAGACTGTTGCCTTTATAATTTGGTGCCACAGGAAGATGAAGGACTATATGTAAAAGACATTACAGTGTTTAGGGAAACTCCTACTTTCACACCTGTCCCTCCGGTCCCCACGCTAAGTTTCATTACTGCATGGGATTATAGTAAGGAAACTGGACAAGGGAGCAGACCCCCGGACCTAATATTAGCTACGTTGAAGCCTGAAAAGAGGAGGCTCTGTAAGATTAGAGTGGGGCCATTTATCTTCACAGTAGGCGCAGATAAGGGTCAGATAACTTATAAAGCTGCGTATTATCCCAATTTTATCATACCAAACGCAAAGAACCATTCTTTTGTGCACCACTGGGTTAACATTAATTTGAACCAAGACTGCCTGTATTCAGGAGAAATTAATTATCCCTTAGACAAACAATCAAAAGGCTCAAAATGGTTCGGGATGGTGGTTGGCAAGACTGGCGAGTTTTGGGCGTATTAGTGGTAGTTGCATTAGTAATAACTGTTCCTCTTAACTTTTGGGAGGACCAGTCCCGTGGCCATAGTAAGAGAAGTACTGTTAGCACAGACTTCTGCCTTACCAAGTATGGAGGGATGGAGGGCTTGAATTACAATACGTAAAAAGGTACCACTGTAACATTTCAATTCGATTTGTGTGACGTGATCAATTGTGGTAAAGACTCTTGTGGTTGGAGGAGGTATAATGTTTATCTTTGTCCAGAGCCTGGAGTAAATGCACAATGTGTTACTAATAGAAGTACTCCTGGCACGTGGACGTGGTGTGATGCATGGAGTAGGGTCTCCCACTGGACTGGGCCAGGTTGGACACCACCAGGTGTAAGTTTGCCCTCTCATGTAAAAAAAGGGCATAAAGTTCATGAAGGGACAGTTAGTTAGGACAAGAGGTACCAAACAATGCAATCCCCTCTTACTATCAATTGCTGATCTTACTACAACTGGGTATACTGGTCCCGCTCCATCTAGCCTTGATGAAGAAGATGTTACTTGGGCTGCTCATAGTCCCAAGACATTGTATTTTATCTTGGGGGTGGATCAATCTGGGACAGACACGAAGGCCCTGATTAAACTTGTCTTCTTAGAATCTGATGCAAATGGAACCACGGTCTCGCTTCAGAAACAGAGTGAGGTAGTGAACACCGGCACAGTGGCAGGAGAGCATAGCTCTGACCAAAAGGAAGTTATTGCCATAGACTATAACAAACTAACCTATAGGGACATAGTGAGATTAG